CATCATAAACATAACCAGTAAATAAGAGAGATTTAAAGAAAGTTACAGAAATAGAGAAGTATTTTCAATAAGGAAAGTTACAAAAATTATATGAGAAAGAATCTTGTATGATAACATTTATCCTGAAATAAAAATGACTTTATTTAAGGAAGAGTGAGGTTTAGAATGAAACAATATGTTCAAGTATGCCACAATGTTCCATTGTACAGTGTATGTACAATGGAACAATGCCACAAAGATACTCCTCGAGAAGAACAACTCCAAGACACATGATTTTCAGATTCACCGAAGTTGAAATGAAGGAAAAAATGTTAAGGGCAGCCAGAGAGAAAGGTCGGGGTACACATAAAGGGAAGCCCATCAGACTAACAGCAGATCTCTCCGCAGAAACTCTCCAAGCCAGAAGAGAGTGGGGGCCAATATTCAACATTCTTAAAGAAAAAGATTTTCAACCCAGAATTTCATATCCAACCAAACTAAGTTTCATAAGTGAAGGAGAAATAAAATTCTTTACAGACAAGCAAATGCTTAGAGATTTTGTCACCATCAGGCCTGCCCTAAAAGAGATCCTAAAGGAAGCACTAAGCATAGAAAGGAACAACAGGTACCAGCCATTGCAAAAACATGTCAAAATGTAAAGTCAATTTCCACTTTTATATTAGCCATGAATGTGGGATAGATGGGTGCTCCTAAGAGATCCATAACTTGCCCATTTTGATGGTTTTTCCAGAAGATGTGAGAAGCCACTTTGTTTGCAAAGCATCCCAGAGCCATGCACTGCTCCACACACATGAGTGCCCATTTCCTGGTCTTTGGTTAACTGTAAAACGCTCATCAGTGCACCTGGGCTAATTTCACATCAGGTAGAGGAATGTGTTCTAAAGGAAAGCTAAAGTTGCAATAGCAAGTCCTGCTCAGTGACCTTCAGCTTCATTGTTTTTGTGTGACCCATCAACTAATTACATTACATCAAGGTTCTCAATGGGAGTTTCTAAGAAGTATAAGGGATGTACAGAAGTTCCCTAATTAAAGTAATACAATTGTGAACACAACCTCAGTATTCAACCATGTCTCCACCCTTCACACCCTTCACACCCTTCACACCCTTCACACCCTTCACACCCTTCACCACAAAGGAATTTTCATCTCTTCTGGAAGTTGGTTTCATTTTGAAATTAGTGATTTTTTTCATTTTAATATCTCAAGATTATCATATATGACTATTTTATCAGAAAGTTAGTTGTGGGAACTTGAACTAAACAACTGAAAACAAATTCACAACTAATTAAGCAAGATGACAGAATGTGATTGGCTCCAGGCTTTGATAATCCAGTGGTTTATGTACCCAGACTTTAAATTTACCCATCTTCCTGTTACCTTCATGGCACAGTCAACTCTCATTATGAAAGAAGTGGTGACTGCATTCCCAAGGGTCACGCACAGTTACAAAAATAGACTGGGTAAGGTGAGGAGTTGATGGTTTAAATTCCCGTTTGAAGAAGTAGAATCAACTACTTTTCTGAGTGGCTCACAGTGACTCCAGCTCACTCACAGAGCTCAGACAGAAACTTCCACTTGAGGGTGGGAGCTGGGCTGCAGGGGGCACTCGGTAGCCATAAAGGTGAAAATGAGCTGTCAGATGGAACTTCCCTGTCACCTCAACATGGAATTTATTGTTTCATTTCATTAGCACTCTTTACATAATGGTTCATATTTTTTGGTCTGTTCATTACTTGTATTTTTCAAAGGAAT